TAACGGTACACTACTACCACACACAACGTTTGTGCCTTTTTTTTTTTTTTTGAAGTTTTTTCCTCGGACAGATTTCTGACTTGTAACTTTTTAAGTTTTGACTTTTATTATTTTATTTTTATTTTTTATTTTATTTTTAACTGCGAGTAGACAGGCTCTACCATGTATCTATCTATCTATCTATCTATCTGAGTCTGTGAATTTTTGTCAGGATTTGAAACTTGAATCTTCAACTCATGACCTGGTCGTCAAGTGGTTATACGTAGACTAGGAGTCGACCTGACATGATGGGGGAACGTTGAGACAGCGTGTGGTCTTCTTGTTTAGGACCCTGATGTTCAGCTTTATGGAGAGTGGGGTATGGCTCCAGCTGTGGTCGATCGATAGTGGAACACAGTTTAGCAGGTAACTTGCTTTAGCTTGTTCTGTTGTTTGATATGGCGACAGGGCTTCTGCTTTCGCAGAAGTTTCTAGCCTTTCGCTTAGAGAACGTCATCGGAACATTGCTGGTTTAGCTCCGCAGTAAAATTTGTAGTTTTGTTTTTAGGCGTATTTTGTAAAAACTGCATCCGGTCGTGAAGTTGTGATAGGAACAGTAAGGCTTTGATATGGTGACATAACTTCAGTTTTTCGCAGTGGGACTCGAACCGGGCTGCTTTCTGATTTGCTGTTGACTTTGTTTTTTTTTTGGTTTTGTTTTGTTTTGTTTTTTGTTTTTGTTTTGTTTTGTTTTGTTTTGTTTTGTTTTGTTTGTTGTTCGTTTTTTAAGACTGACGATGGAAGATCCGAAAGCCTTCCGTACGTCATTGGGTTTTTGGTTTTGGTTGGACCTACCAGTTTTTTTCTATACGGTATCATTTTTTCAGTTTTCTATACGGAATGTACCTCTCGTGCCTTCTAGATTACCAGGAATTGAACGCACGATTTGGTACTCGGGTAGTTTTTTGCTTTTCTATACGGTATCGTTTTTCAGTTGACTACCGGTAGGTAAGGTACGTGAAGTCAGACTCTTGGGAAATATGACTATATTAGTAATGATTGCGTAGCCAGATGTCTTTTTGGGTCCTACGCCGTCTGACCCGCGGACGTTTCCGGAGATGTCGGTAGGGTCGACGACGGAGGAGGGATAGTGGAACGAAGGTGTTGTTAAGGGTCGACGAGAGGTGGACTTCCCCCTGAGGAAGACCGCGTGGTGGCGGCCGATACCGGTCGGGGTGCCATACCCACCGGCTTGTGCAATCATTGTATCATGTACTCTTTCTGCAGTGTGTACTCAAGAGTGTACTGCATGTACTCTTTTGCAGTGTGTACTCAGAGTGTACTTTTGTACGTGTGGATGTATGCTTTGCATCTATCTCACCTTATCTACAGATAACCTGGTCGTCATCAACAGTTTTACTGTAGTGATGTTTAGTGTTTTTTAACTTTTTAACTTTTTTACCGTAGTGATTTTTCCATGGACACAGACTTCTCTGTTTGCCTTTCGTCTACATGGACTGTTTTTTTTTTTTTTTTTTTTTTT